CCATCCCCGTCTTCCTTCTAAGATTCATCAGGCTGTTCCATGCTTCTATGTCTCTGGATCTATTTAGTTGTGTGGCCTTTAGATTGTTATATTCATGTAAATAATTTATAATTCTTTGAAACTTTGATTAGCTGACCAGTTGCTATTTATAATACTTTGGGTGCTCTTGTCCTTATAAGAACCTTTTTTCCTACTTTTAGGATGTAGATGTTACGTTAAGGGCCTGATAAAAACCAAGTTAAGGAACAAAGATCCGATACTCCTCATCAAGGACAGATCAATCTGGAGCACCCTAGGGATGCATAAACCAAAGATTTAAGACTTCGGGCTTGGCTAGTCCCCTCAAGGGCCTCTACACTGATTCTAAGGAGCCTGAGTACTGGGTGCCTTGGAGTAGAGCTGAGCTCTTTTGACCTGTTTCAGTCAATGGTGGCTCAGAGGCTCTTATGTGGACTAAAAGCCCCCACCTAAAAATACGGCTTTGTTCTTTCATTCACCAACACGTAATGAGTAGCCACAATGTGCCAAGCACTTTATGAAGATAAAAGACTTCAGAGTCATAGCTTATTGAGGGAGAGTGAAAAGTACAGTTAAAACACAGTGGAGAAATTGCTAGAAAAGAGGTCTATCCAGGATACTATGAAAGCATGGAGGAAGGGCATAGAATTTCTGGGATAAGAAGGGATGTCAGGAAACATTTTCTAGAGGAGGTCATGCCTGAATTGACTCTTACATAGTTATTAGGAGAATGTGAGAAAAAAGAACTGAGAATTAAACTATGTGGAGGCACTTGAAACCCCAGGAAAAAATTATTTATCGACATAATATCCAATATGGGTTGATGAGAGAGGTTTTATATTTAGTCTATTTTCCTTCAATGGTCCTCAGTACCTGTATCTGTTTAGTATCAATATCTATATCTATTTAGTCTTTCTAGCTTTTCCTTATATTATGTTTATTAAGTTTTCATTTTGTATCAGGTGTATTATTTTACAGATTTTTCCTTTTAAACTTTACCCTGGTTTATCATTGAATACTATTCATATCTTCCAATACCATCAACTTGTCCTCTGCAAACGTAATGAGCATACTTTCAATTCATATCCAGGTCATCAATGAGGAAACTAAATAACATAACCTCAGACCTGATTCCTGCAGAACACGATTTAATATATCCTCCCATGGTAATACTTACTCTTTTGCCTACTGGGTGTTGCCACCTACCTGAGAAAGTATACAAGCACCTGGGTCTAATTTTTGGCTTATAAGTGAACATGTTCCGTGAAACAAATCCTAGAGTTTTACTTTTTTGCAGGCAATCAATCTAATGACTTCTCCCTTTATTTGATCCCTTGTTTAAAAAAAGAAAACATGTAATATAAATAATATAATGCTTTCTTCCAAAGCTGTGTTTTTACTGTGGTGACTTAAAGGTGTGGCTTCACTTGATCCCTAATCCCTACCTCCCTTATGAGAGAGATGCTGAGTTTTCCTACATTATTATCAGTTGTCAAAATCAAGCCACTCTGATGTCTCTCTATGATTACTGCTTTTGATCAATCCCAAGAAGAAAAGATTTAAACTTTAAAAGATTTATACTAGACAATGATTTTACAATGACAATATTAAGTATTATATTTGAAGTATATTTACTACAAAAGAGTGTGATGGCACTGGTGAATGCTGTGCTTTAGAGGCAGAGAGACTATTCAGAAAGTGAAAATAAGTGTTCCCTAGAGATACATGCTGAGGTCATTTAGTTCCTGGTCAGAAGCCTGTCACATGGCTACCAAGTCCTCTCATATAATCTGACCTTTTTATTCCATCAGTAGAGAGCTACTGCAATTAATATAAAGATGCCATAACAGAAATAGCTAATTATATTTGTTTATAACTTTTACAGACTCTTATACTTAATTTTATTCCTACTGCAACCCTATGGGGTAGACAGTACTCAGCAAGTCCCAAATTCATATAATAAAGAATTCTGAAGAGGAATCATTTACCGGGAGCTGAGATGGTCTAAAAGTAAAATTTGAGTGGAATCATGAAGAATAAATAGAAATCAGGCAGGTAAAGGAGCATGAAAAAGGATTCTCTAGGCTGAATAAAAAGTGTAGAAATAAAAGTATACAATGTTAATTTGAAGGAATAGATGTGTCAGAGTAGAACCACCAAGCTGAAAGTAAGAAAATTAAATGCCAAAGAAGAAAGGCTTCAGAACCTCAGAGCTGGATTCAAATCTCAGTTCTCAGATACTATTTATTAATATGATAGCCTGTACAAGTTACTTTCCTTATCTCTCTGCTCCCCAGGATGTCATGAAGATTAGAGGTAACATGTTGACACCATGCTTGGCACATAGTAGGCATCTAAATATGGTAACTATTAATTACTGTAAGTTAATCCACCTTTACATGCATACATAAAACTCTCCTTATCAGGTAGCATGCATTACTTCCAGACTATTTGCATAAGTAGGATACTTGGTACCACATGGCAGCTGAGTCATAGGGGTTCAGGAATATACAATTTTCCAACCTTTTTATAAGTCTGAAAATTTTTTTTAAGTTTAGAAAAAAGATAAGGCAGTTTTACAATGAGGCTCTCCCTGAAATCCATTACACATAACCCTCTGGCCCACCCGGCACTCCCTACCTGTACCTTTGCTTTTATTTTTCACACTACCACTTATTAATATATGTGACAACCTGTGCATCTTATTTATTTTTTCAATCCAGGGATCGAACCTGCAACCTGTGTATATGCCCTGATGGGGAATCGAACCTACGACCCTTTGGTGCATGGGACGACGCTCCAACCAACCGAGCCACAGTGGCCAGGGCAGCATCTTATTTATTTTTATTGTTTATCATACCTCACTTCATGAGGGTAGGAATTTTTCTCTATTTTGTCTAATTTGTTCACTGCTCTGTCTCCCATACCCCAAACAGTGCTTGGATGGTGCTCAATAAAGGTATACTGAACAAGCAATGAATTGCACCTTCCCTGAAGATGCAAGGGGCCTCTAGGAGCAATGGTAATGCAAAACACCATAATTCACATCTAGTAAAGATGGCACGTCTTCATTTGGTAAAAAAAAAACACAAGTGATGCTGCAACATCAACGTTCTTGACTATAAGTCTAAGCAGACATGGTCTATTTAGCTCTTGTGGTACATTTTATGAGTACAGATTTATTCATATAAAATGTAAACTTAACATCAGAACTGACTGAAGTATACTGTAAAACTGTGTAAAGAATAAAACTGAGCAAAGAGAAAACCAACAAACAAACTCACAGTTAATAAATCCCACTGAGTGGCTGAGCCACAGGAAAATAATGAGGGGGCGAACGTTAGAAAACCAAAGTAAATCTAGGGGAAAAAGCAAGAAATATTCATATAAATTTAATGCTATTTGTGAATTACTGTAGCAAAGATGGTAAGAGCCATGACAATATTAAGAAGAGCTTTCATATGTAAGAAGAACATTTTCTATGAGCAGTACATAATTTTTCAGAGATTAGTTTTAGGCTCTAGCACTCTATGCAATCCCCTCTCTGCCTAGTAGTCCTCAGGTTGTACTTGTATGGTGCTAACTGTCCTGCGATGCTCTGATCACTATATAAATCAAACACTGTTGGGCTTTTCTAACTTTAATGGGAAAAGTTATACTCATAGATGGAATTTTCTCAATTTTAAGCTTAAAGTTTCTTAAACTTTTGACATTCATTACGACTTTATAGCAGAATCTGGAATATGGCATGTTCTGTAGTATAAAACTATGTTTAGTCATTTTATATTTAATATGTTAATATTTCATAGTGTCAGACTAATAGAATTTGAAAATCAGTCTTCCTAGTTATGTGGCCCTGGGAAAGTTACATAACTTTTCAGTAAAATGAAGGGTGACAGTAATAGTAATACCTCAGTAAAACAGAAGGTTCTGTGAAGATAAAATTAGTTAATAAATAGAAGGCACATAAACAGTGTCTTGCACAAAGACAGTACTTAATAACTGCTGTTATAAAAAGTATTAATAATATTTTATTAATAAAAGGGCATAATGACATCTATGGACTGTCACTGAAAAATTCTACAATTCTGTCATACATAGATCCAATTATGTATAAATAAACAACTCTCCCTGGTTGGAAAGGAAAAACTAAAAACCTCTGCAGTATTAGTTTTCTCTCCACTTCACAAATTGTTTGAGGGTTTCCATATCATATTTATAACATGCCAAGTTCGTACCTGTGGGCTGGAGAAATGAGTTAAATATATACTATTCTTCTGTGCATCCAGTTTTGTATTATATAACATTGTATTATTAAAACTACAATCTAGTCTAAAAAGTATCTTTTTTCTCCTATTTTCCACTCTTAAAATGTTAGGGTTCTATGATTAATATCAAAGACATTTTGCTGATGTTATTCAGGATCACTGATGCCCTAACACATAATGCTAACATTAAAAATTCACAATTTCCTTGATATTTAATGCTCTACCACACAGGTAGATTCTTCCAGCTTTTAGTTCTTGTCTGCTACTCAGCTGAGTGACACTGACATTTAATACCACCAATCCTTAGTCCACCCATCTGCAAAGCATAGCACCTATCCCTGCACAGTCATAGGATCACAATGAAATTCCAAAGGCAGTTTTTAAAAATCTTATGTCCTTTTACAAGTGTAGGTTATTTTAATAATTATGCATGCCATCTGAGACAAACTAGTCAAGGCTGTTTATTTAATAATAATGTATAAGTTGCCATTCACTATACTTTAAAATATCTGTAACTCAGCAATAAAGAAATTACCACATCTAATAAGAGTCATGAAATAATAAACAGAGCTTCCGCCAACCTGGCCATTTGCTTGTAAGCTTCTTCAGCTACTGCGAAAATATGTGGATCCATATCACCCATGTTCTGACCACTGTATGCATTAATAATATCTTCTCCATAAATAGGCAGCTGTTCATATGGATTTATAGCTACTAGGACTATACCTAGGGAAGGGAGTGAAAAAGCAAAAGTAGTAGTCAGTTATATCCTAATGGGCATAAACTTGGTTAAGTGAGAATCATAGTTAACACAAATTTCAATTTCAGTTAATACTGAACAAACAAATTGTTAAGGATCAAAATATGCCATAGCCTTTGCCTTCAAGCCCATTATACCTAGTCCTAAATACAACACCAATTAAAAACTGAACTAGGTTATTTAAAATAATGACAATTGTGACAATGTTAAAGTAACTTTAAATATTTTTATAACATTTAAACCAAAAATTAAACTTCAAATGAAATAATCAGATTCATGCAAGGGTTTGTTTTTTTAAAAAATAAAAATGCTTATCATAATGTTATTCAGTAAAAAGTGAAAACAAACAAAATATATAATAGAGTGGTTAAATACATTTCGTTACAGCCATATGACACACTATTGTGCTACCACCACAATCATATTTTTAAAGATTATTAAATGTCATAGGAAAATATGACACAAAACTATACAGAGTCTGATTCTAATTTTATATCTATTTATGCTCTCTCACATATATACATATATAAGATATAAATCAAAATGATAGTGGTTATTTTTCAATGGTGAATTGCATGTAATTCTTTTCCTTTTTTATACTTTTTTAAATATATATATATATTTTACTGATTTCAGAGAGAAGAAAGGAGAGGGAGAGAGAGAGAGGAACATCAATGATGAGAGAGTTATTGATCGGCTTCCTTCTGCACGCCCCTTACTGAGGATCGAGCCTGCAACCCCGGGCACTTGCCCTGACCACGAATCAAACCTCAGTCTCCTGAATCACAGGTCGATGCTCAACTGCTGAGCCACGCCGGCCAGTCCTTTTTTTCTTTTTTTTTAAATCCTCGCCTAAGGATATTTTTTTCCATTGCTTTTCAGAGAGAAAGTAGAAGGGAGTGAGAGAGAGAAACATTGATGTGAGAGAGACACACATCGACTGGTTGCCTCCCGCACGCACCCCGATGCTCTAACCACTGAGAAGAACCAGCAAGGGCTCCTTTTTTATACTTTTATTGTATTTCCTTAAATTCTACAGTAGGTGTATATTAACTTAATGAAGTCATTCATTCAACTAATATTTTTTCAGCTCCAAATGTTTCAAGTTTAAGTGCTAGGTTTACAACAGTAAACAAAAAAAGAAATCTTTGCCCTCATGGATATTATATTCTAGTGGGAAATTCAAATAGTCAACAAGATAAATAAGAAAAATATATATCATAGGTTAGATAGCAGGGAGGAAAAGGAACACATTTAAACAAAAATGGAGGGTAGATAATGAGGAGGAGGAACACTGGGGTAGGATTTAGATGGGAGGGTGGGGCAGGGAAGGCCTTGCCAAGAAGATAGCTAATGTGCAAAAAAAGGAAGACAAAAATTGAAAAAAATAAATATGCAGATAATACATAGCGAAGAAAAGGAGTTACTATCAAGCATATAAAAGATATAAATTCTTTTAAAAAGAAAAGATATCTGTTCCTATCCAAAACAGAGGAGTAACGAAGAAATGGTCAGCACTGAGTTGGGTATCCCAAGCAAATACACTTAGAAGGAAATGAGTGGAAACCTCGGAACTAAGTCTCAAAGGAGAATTGATTAGTAAAAGAAAGATATGAAGTCAGTGGAGAAAAATGAGCCAGGGACGAGAGAGAAAAAGAGAAAAAAGAAAGAGGGAAAGGGGCCCAAAGCCACATATACATGCATGCTTAATTTCTAAGAGACAGAAAAAGAATCCTGAGCTGGGTCCCTGGCAGCTAATACTACAATGAGCAGGGGCCTAGGCAAGCCGATCAAACAAGAAAAGCCACTACAAGTCAAGTCAGTCTTGAATTTCTAAGTAATTGAGAAAAAGGCAACACTAAACTTCTTGAACCAGCCCCAAAGGCAAGTCTTTGGACATCTACTCTTCATGTACTAGTTTTTAAAAGAGATGAAAATAGCTGGCAAATTGGAATTGAATTTGGCATATACATTCTGTGTGTGGGGCAGGGGATCCAAAAGAGAGACCCAGTTCTTTTCATTTTGACAAAAATTGTATAAGTTCACAGAAGAGCTTATTCAGCATAAAGTACAGCTAGCTAATGAACACTGGTACATAGTTTTGATAATTGTGAAGTGAAATTGTCTCTAAGAGAAAGTCCAATCACAGTCTTCCTTGCCCATGCACAGTATTTCCATGGCTATGCCCATTACGTCTCACAGTCCACTCAGACAGCAAGGTACACTTACCACAATATGTATAAATGAGTTTGGAATCAATAAAGCGGACTCTGAGATTGTGGAGCACAGCAGGCTCGTGAAGATAGCTGAGGGCTGTGAGGTCATTTTCACCCACAAGGATGTCAGGGTTTCTTAAGTGAGGCAGTTCCTTGGTCTTTGGATCTAGACGATATTCCAAATCCTGAAAATGCACAAGACACAGCATCTGGATAAACCACGGCAGTAAAAGTGAAACAGGTGTCCAGGGATTTTACTTATTTCCTATTCCTGATTTGCTTCTCAGCTATTAACTGCATTCACTTCCTAGCACCTTCCAAAACCACAGAAACTGATGGGAATGGCAAAAAAATAAGGAGAGTCTTCTTGTTCACTAGATGTATTTAACTCATGAACAATTTTTGCTTATATAGTTTGAGAAGTCTTAGGCAGACTTCTTTTACCCAGTTACTGGACCATAAGTTTTTAAATCTTTATTTAAGATTTTTGGAGGTTTCCCCCCACTTCATCTATGATAAGTAAAAGGCAGTATAACACAATCATTAAGAGCCTGACTCTAGAGTGAGATTGACCTGGGTTTAAATTCTAAAACTGGTACTTAATTCTTTTGTGGTCTTGGGTATGTTATTTAACCTAAATCCTTCATTTTTTAAAAGGGCATAATAGAAACAGCTGCCTAAGTGTTGAGTGTCGACCCAGGAACCAATCCCCAATAGGGGGCATGCAGGAGGCAGCCAATCGATGATGTTTCTCTCTCACTGATGTTCTCTCTATTCCTCCTCCTTCCTCTCTCTCTAAAAATCAAAACATATTAAAAAAAAAAAAAAAAAGGCTCACAGTGGTGTGGTAATAATTAAATGAGGCAATGCCTGGTATGTGGTAAAGACTTCGGACCACTGAACCCCAAGAGGTCCAAGAATCCCCTGAAATTAGCTATAACACTTTATGTATATGTGTATAAACATATACACATATATGTACTTTTTTGAAAGACAGTCCATAGTTTTCATCTGATTTTTAATGAGGTGCTTGGCCTCAAAAGTTAAGAAGTACTTACTCACTTTATAGCCAAGAGAACATGATTTTATGGCAAAGCCAAGCATGGAAACTGTAGCTCAACTATGCATTAAGGCCAAATAACATATGACAAGTGAAAAGGGAAAAAATGCAATTTAACTGTAGGGATGGACAAGTTGGTTTTGTAAAAAGTCCCTTTTGTTAATACTGAAGAGATACTCAGGGGTCAAATATTCAAATCTGGTTAGAATTATACTAAATAGGGAGGAAATTTTATAATCTGCTGCTCTACCTCTCTCTGCCTGTTTGTTAGGGTATAATGTCCTTCCCCAAAGCTGAATGGCCCTTGCATTGGCCCCTGCAATACACAAAAGCCACTTCTTGGCTGTGTGTTCTCAGGCAGAACTACTTAATGTCTCTGAGCCTTGGCTTCCTTATTTGGAAAATAGTTATAATACCACCTACCAACCCACAGGGTTGCTGTAAGAATTAGCATAAGAAAACAGCCCAAAGTGCCTATGTGTGCCTAACATAGACTAGATGATCAATAAATGTTGAATAAATTAATTCCTTAGTTTGGCATTCAAGGTCCTCTTAGTCTGGCCTAATTTTTCCCTACCGTCTTCCCAACTAATCTCCTTACCTCAGTGTTGCTCTCCTGAAATTTATCCTGCATTCTACTACCAGTGAGTCCTTTCTAAAACGCAAACCTGGCACCCTTCCTCTGTTTATAAACACAACAGTCACTCCCTGTAGCATACCAGGACACCAGGCCTTCTGTGTTCCCACCCCTATCCTCTTGCTTGTCCTGAACTTTCACTTTACATCCCAACAACATGGAACTTGTGTAGCTCCCCAAACACATGTTATCATGCATGCCTCCCTGCCTTTGCCCGTATTTTTCTGGACCCCTGAAATGCACCCCTTAATATTCAAGCCTTGAACTAGAACACAAACCTTTCTAAACCTCTGCTGCAGTCAACTTGTTATAATAACTATCTCCAAAATGCATTCCAATCTTTACAAAGTCTACCTCCTTTCTCTTTGTCAATCCAAATACTTAAGTCCCAGTCAAAATCCTTCCTCTTTCTTCAAGCCTTTCCTGACAAAGCAGCCCATAATGAAACTTCCCTCTGTTGGGACCCTGAAGTCCTCACTGACTTCACAGTATACACAGTGGTTATGAGCACAGACCATGAAGGTGAATTTCCTGGCTTTAAATCCCAGCTTCATCCCTTAGTACCTATATAACCCCGAGCAAGTCCCAAACTCTCTGAGTCTCAGTTTCTACATCCATAAGTGGTAATAATAATAGCCTCACCTCATAGGCTTGTTGTGAGGATTGAATGAGTTATAGCAAATAAAGCACTTACTAAGTGCTCAACACATGTTAACTGTCAGGAGAGTAGTATTCATTTGGTAGTTAATCATAAATTTACCTTTTGACATCTTAGTGATGGTGAAGTATTCTATATATCCTATATTTTACTTAACTTTCCATGTATTTATATCTAGTTTCCTTAGCTAGACTATAAGTTGTTTAAAGGAAATTAATGTTGCAAAGGCTTTCAAGAAAAAAGTGTGACCTGTCCTGTCAAATGCAGTGGAGAGACTTAAAAGCATGGCACTAAGACAAGTCCATTCATCCAGTGAATGCAGACAGGGAAATATAGAGACACAATTGGTTTTAAATTTTTCTGGTTACCAGAGAAGTGCTTATATATACTAGCTTATCAGTAAATATTTTTCAAATGATTAGTTCCAGCAAATACCAAATCTCAGACTGACTCCTTAGATGATATGAAATATGTTAGTTAATATGAAAACACTTTAATGCTAGCCTAAACAAAATACAGATAAACAAACACATATTTGGAAGCGTTGTATGTGAATCTACCCTAATCATAATCAATTCATAGACCAAAATAATGGACTTTTAAAGTGTCTGCTCTTTCCACTAATCCACTGGGATAGAAACTTCAGTCTGCCATTTTGCCTTTTTTTTTTTTTTTTTTTTTTAAATATTTTTTTTTTTTTTTCAGAGAGAGGAAGG